GTGCTGCCAAAACAAGTGAAACTCACAAGAACAGTGTAACTATGGTAACCACTACCTTGTTTACCTCTGACTATAAAATAAAGGCTCAGCTTGCCTCTGGATCTCTCTCTGTGGCCTCAGCGAGGCACAGGAAGATCCACAGAGAATAAAGAGAGAACCTGGCTATGCTGACCATCTGAATGCTGTCTCTGTGTCCTTCATTCTTCGCTGACTCCATCCACACCTTTGGGAACCCCTGAACCGCTGGGGCTGGACCCCGGCAGCTTCCCTGATGCCAAACAATCCAGTTCTTCTCTGTATGTCCATGGTTCCTCCAATGCTGCTGCCCAGTGCTGGAGCTCAGAGGGAATGGGACTGTGTAAGCTTGTGCACCAGCCCTTTATGAGGGACTCCTTGTCTCCAGCAGCCTCCTTGTCACTGAGCCACTATCGCCACTGGTTTTTATAGCCTGAAGTTACGGGAACATCTCTTTCCACCCCTGGAACTCTGGGCTGGGGGTCTGCTGTGGGGCTGGGATCCCTTGCTTCTCACAGGAGGCCTCAGCAGTTAAGATATCCCTCCTAATTAAAAACACTCCACACTTGGGTGTCGGACCAGCCATTCTACTCCTTCACTCATCCTACAAGTCTTGACGTACATTCTTCTTTACGTCTCTAGTTGTAGAACTTTCATTCAGCCAGCTTTCAGGCAGTTCTGAATGATGGTTGTTCTGTATTATAGCTGTTATTTTGATGTGGTTGTGGGAGGTGATGAATACTGGTGTTTACTTACACTGCCATATTGGTTCTCTCTCAGAAATACATTCTTCTCAAGTGCACATGGAAATATTCTCAAAGATAACCACATGTTAGGACACAAAATAACTCTTAAAATATTTAAGAAGATTGAAATCATATCAAGCATTTTCTCAGATCATAATGGCATGAAATTAGAAATTAACTATAATAAAAAAACTCAAAACATTCAAACACATGGAAGCTAAATACCATGTCATTAAACCATAAATAGGTTAACAATGAGATCAAGGAAGAAACAAATATTACCTGAAACAATGAAAATAAATACACAACAACTTGAAATCCATGGGACAGAGTGAAAGCAGTCCTGGGAGGGGAGACTCAGCATTACTGGTCTACCTCAAGAAGCAAGAACAATCCCAAATAAACTATCAAACCCTATGTCTAAAAGAACTAGAAAAAGAACAACAAACAAAGCCTAGAGTAAGTAGAAGGAAGGAAATAATAAAGATCAGAGGAGAAATAAATCACATAGAGACTAAAATAACCCCAATACAAATAAGCAACGAAACCAAGAGCTTGTTCTTTGAAAAGATAAACAAGATTAATGATCTTTCAACTACTCTCATCAAGAAATAGAGGACCCAAGTAAATAAAATCAGAAATGAAAGAGGTGAAGCAACAACTGACATCACAGAAATACAAACGATTGTAAGGAAATATTATGGACAATTATATGCCAACAAATTGGACAACTGGGGTGAAATGAATAAATTCCTAGAAATATACAATCTTCCAATACTGAATCAGAAAGAATCAGAAAACCTGAATAGACCAATTACAACTAACAAAATTGAAGCAGTAATACAAAAAACTCCCAGTATACAAAAGTCCTGGAATCAATGGGCAAAAACTAAACAATTTCCAAAACATATAAATAACTTATACACCAGGAAAACAAAAAATCCAATTAAAAAATGAGCAAACGACCTGAATGGACATTTCTCCAAAGAGGACATACAGATCGCCAATAGACATGAAAAAATGTTCAATGTCACTAATCATCAGAAAGATGCAAATTAAAACCAGAATGAGATAGCACCTCACAGCAGTCAGAATGGTTACCATCAATAAATCAACAAACAACAAGTGCTGGTGAGGATGTGGAGAAATAGGAACTCTTGTGCACTGCTGGTGGGAATGCAGACTGGTGCAGCCACTGTGAAAAATAGTATGGAGTTTCCTCAAAAAAATTAAAAATGAAACTGCCTTCACATCCAGTGATCCCATTTCTGGGAATATATCCTAAGAATTTCCAAACATGAATCAGAAAGAACATATGCACCTCTATGTTCATTCCAGCATTATTTATAATAGCCAAGATCTGGAAATAGCCAAGTGCCCATCAGCAGATGAGTGGATAAAAAAGCTGTGGTACATTTACACAATGGAATACTACGCAGCTGTAAAAAGAAAGAAATCTCACCTTTTGCAAGTGTGGATGAGCCTGGAGATTATTATGTCAAGTGAAATGAGCCAGCTAGAGAAAGACAAATATATATATGATCTCACTTATACATATATCATCTAATGAACAAAATAAACTGATGAATAAAATAAAATAGAAACCAAGGCATAGGTTCATGGAACAGACTGACAGCTGTCAGAGGGTTGAGGGGAGGAGGGGACTGTAAGAAAGAAGGTGAAGGGATGAGCCAAAGAACATTTATGCACAGACACAGACAACAGTGTGGTGATGGCCAGAGGGAAGGCAGGGTGGGAGTTGGGTGGAGGGAGGTGGGCAAAGGGGGAGGGTATGGGGATCTGTAATAGTGTCAACAATGAAAATCAAGTAAAAAAAACTACATGTGTAACACAAGAGGACTGTTCAATAAATTTGGGTACATATATTCAACGGTATGCTATATTGCTATTAAATATAACACTGTAAAAGACTAATTAATGAAAAGAAAAATGTACAAAACTATATGTACTATTTGCAAAGGATATATACCACATTAACAGCAAATGTCTCCATAGAAGGATTACAGTTTATTTGCAGTGTTATTTTTGTGATATTTTCTGAATTTTACATAATGAAAATAAATAATTGTATAAAGGGGGGAAGTATGAGAATAAAAACAAATTTTACCCTTTATTACTTGACTGATAAGCTTTTCATGGTTCTCTAATACAAAAATATCTACTTTATTGTTTTATTTGAAGTCACTTTAGAGTTCCTTTTTAATGGATATTGAAGGCAACAGTAAGGCCCATAATTTAAGAATCAAAAAAAAGAGAGATGGGGTGAGGAGGAGGAGAGAAAGAAAGGAAAAGGGGAAGGGAGACAGAGAGGGGAAGGGAGAGAGGAGGGAGGGAGGGGAAAGCCCAGCCCCTCTAATTCACATTCCACAGATGCATTTGACAAGGGACCCTTTTAGCTAACAGTATGACTAATACCTGCAGGATACGAGCATTCCTCAGAACGGAAATTTGTAAATCCCGAAAAGGTGGGGGACCAGGCAGCGCTGGGCTGCAGGTTGGGGGTGGGAGTGCTGAGCCCAGCCCCAGGGGAAGGGCTGTGGGGAGCTGGTGGCCCCAACCCCCGTCTGCAGCCCTGGCTGTGGCAGCCTCACCTCCATGGCTGCCGGTCCACCATGGCCACGCTGTGCGCAGCCAGGCAGCCCAGGGGACCCCAGCAACCCCCAGCCCCAGGCTTGGCCACAGCATCCTCAGCTCCTCAGACTGCACAGGCCTCTGATGTAGCCTAGATTGCAGGTCAAAGTTCGCACTTTACTGGGCGGCCCCGCCCACGCGTCTCCATGGCTACAGCCCTGAGGCGCTTCCCCATTTGCTCCAGTATCTGCAGGTGGTCCGCCCACGCGCAGCCTCAATTGGCTGCAACCAGGGTCCCCAACCGTCCTCAACCTTCCCCAACCGACCCCAACAGTCCCCCAAGGTCCCCAACGGTCCCCAACCGTCCCGATGGTCCCCAACAGTTGCCAGACCCCCTTCCCTCCTGGGCAGGCATCGCTGTGGACAGGAGGGGGGAGGAGAGCCCAGTCTGAGGACAGTGAAGCTGGAATCCTTTTCAGGTCCTGGTGAGCCAGTGAGTCCCTCTAGTAAGTGAGCCCGTTGCCTTAGGATTTGCCTGATGTTGTTTCCTGTTTGAAGCAGTTTTACTCGACCTTCTTCTAGAATCTAGAATCTAGATCATTGTAGTTTAAAAGAATAGAGAACAGAGAGGAAGTCTGTTTAACCTTTTATTAATAAACAAACATATAATAGAAACAGAATGCGTTAGTTTTCTAAAAGAATTTCCTTAAGCATTAAAATTACTTTGTTTTATCATAACACATAGGAATAATAGGGATAGCTGAAATACACTTAATTTGAATTAATAAAGATTAATTCAAGCTGAATTCTGTTAGTGACAAGATTATATATGGAAAAAAACAGCTTTTTGTTTGAACATGGGAAAATATGTAAATGTGGCCTTAAGGTCTATCCTTAGGGAGAATAACATAATTTATTCTGCCTTTTTTCTCTTAGAATATCCTCCTTTTAGCCTTTTCCTTGTCCCTGGCCCAAGAATAAGCCTGCCTTCTTGTGTGTCCTGTGTGTTGTAAGGGTTGTCTGTATGGAGGGCGCCATCTGCCGGCCGTGGGAAAAACCGCTGTGGGAAGACCGCCTTTTACAGTTCAGGGGACTCTTCAGAAAATGTTGTTTTCCTTCTAATTCCACCTCAAACCTGGAGTAAAATTCCAGGAGGGAAAACAGCTTTTAATAAACATGGCCAGGTTGGGATTCTTGTAGTGGTTTGACTTGTTTCTGTGACTCTGAGCTTGGTGTCACATACGGAATATTTAAAAAAATATCATCATGGAAAGTGCAGATCCCTGTCTTTATTTCCACCCAGATCAGTTAGAAATATGATTATTGTTCCTGTTTGTGCCCTTGATCTTTAATCCAGACAATGCTTTGTTCTCTTCTATCCAGGAAAAGGATTTTAAATATTTTTATTGCTGTCTCTTGCTTAGTTTCATCTTAAGAACATATATTAACATCTGATAATACCAGAGTGAGGAATGATTTCTTGATTTTTTTTTCTTCCTAAGGCTATGTGTATGATTTTTAAGAAATCAATGTTTCTTTTAATTAATGATTATGTAATCAGAACTTATTCAAAGGTTGTATAAGCTCTTTAGTATTATAATATTTTCTTGTGTTTTACTTATTGTTCAAATGGACATAAAGTCATAAGTGTTTATAACAATATGCATACAATAATTTTAAAAATTAACTGCATTCTGAGTGTATTTGTTTCAAATTACCTTTTAAAAGTGGGGAAATTCTAAATTATTATAATTTTACTATAAATTAAAAACATGCATTTTTTTAAATCCTTGCTCTAGAATACATTTATTGATATTTTACAAAGGGAGAGGAAGAGAGAGAGAGAGAGAGAGAGAGAGAGAGAGAGAGAGAAGAGAGAAACATGGATGGGTTGCCTCCTGAATGTGCCCTGACTGGGGATCCAACCCGAAACTAGGCTTGTGCTCCCACTGGGAGTGGAACCTGCAACCTTTTGGTGCCTGGGATGATGCTCCAACCAGCTGAGCCACCTGGCCAGGGCCAATGTGTATATTTTAAAAATGGAGAAAGAAAGTGATTGGCATGCCATTCTATAATATATACAGTATGTAAAATGGATTCTGACACAGGTTATTTTTATATAAATTTTTCTTAAGTACAGTTACAGTTTTCTCATTTTCATTGTATATGTCAGTGATGGCGAACCGTTTGAGCTCGGCGTGTCAGCATTTTGAAAAACCCTAACTTAACTCTGGTGTCGTGTTACATATAGAAATTTTTTGATATTTGCAACCATAGTAAAACAAAGACTTATATTTTTGATATTTGTTTTATATATTTAAATGCCATTTAACAAAGAAAAATCAACCAAAAAAAATG